TCGTAATGGAACCTTGACCAGTTGCACGTGGCTTGACAACTTTTGCGCGCGCAGGCTTTGCTTCTGCCTTCTTCGCATCCTTGTAGACTTCTCTACCAGCCTCGACGTATTGAGCACTGGCTAGAGTACGAATCCGCTCTGCTTCTCTTTGCATTGCTTGTAGGTCTCCAAGATCTCGTGCGCTAGTGAACCCGGCTTTTACACTCTGCATCGTGGTTGTCGCTGTCGAGAAAGCAGACGTTCGGTTCATCGTAGATGCTACTGAGTCTTTAGACAGAGAGCTTGACGATTCCAACTTACGCCGCTTGAAAGATTGGTCTAGCCCAGCACCGTTGTTTTTGCCACCGTATGCGGCCCATGTTGGGTCATCTCCGTCAATCTCCTCCCGAGTCGTTGGGTACTGGTCATCCTCTGGACGTTCCAACAAGCAGAGAGCTGTCTTCATATCTTCAGATGATGGGCATTCTCTGCGAAGGATGCGGGCTAACTCTGGTACGGTACTCCTCTTAAATGCAAGATCTGGCCCTCTATTACTGAACAGCTTTTGGATTTTCCGATCCGATATGAATCTCGAAAGTGTCGTCTGCTCCTGGCCCGACTGTTTGACTGGGCAACTTAAGTACAGTAAGCCTTGTGCTCGAGTCATGCCAACATATAGCAAGCGCCGTTCTTCGTCGTGATCGTCCGCTCGGGAATGGGGTATGGATCCGTCGTAAACAGCAGGCATGAAGACCACAGGCCATTCAAGACCCTTTGCTGCGTGAATGGTGGAGATGGTGACCTGGTCTAGTTCACTGCCCTCCTGGTCTGCCGCGCTCGAGAGGGTGACATTGGCTAGAAACTTGGACAAGATATCAGCTGCAGTGTCGTGCCGCTGTTCGATGCCTTCTACTGCTGGCAAGGCGTCGTCAGAGATCTCTTCTCCATTGGCGACTGCTGTAGCCATTTGTGTCGCCTGATTCACCAGCTCCTCCACGTTGGCCCATCGATCTTGCCAGTTCTCCTTGTGCGCCTGCTTGAGATAGGACTGGAAAGAAATCTTGGTTGTAACGTGCGATATAAGACCTAGCAGGTTGCAGTCTTCGCCTTTAGCAGGAAGAAGTTTCTCACGAGAGGTGATGATAACATTGACGAACTGCTCAATACCCTTCTGCGCCTGGGCGGACACTTTGCTTTCCGGCTTTCTCCTGCCTTGAGCCACGTCAAGCACTAACTTCCACAAGGTCACTTTCCTGATCTCTGCTTCTTCGAGAAGGGCCTTGACAGTAGTATCGCCGACCTTCCGAGAAGGTACGTTGATGACACGCGCTACCGCATCGTTGTGTTCAGGCTGGCTTATCACACGGAGGTAGTCCAAGATGATTTTGATTTCCGCACGGTCGAAGAATTTCGTGCCAGCGACCATGCGATACGGAATTCCAGCTTGTCCGAGCGCTCTCTCAATCTGTAGTGTGAGTGGAGACGATCGCACAAGTATAGCGTAGTCATTGTAGCTCAACAGCCCGGCTGTAAGCGTTTTGGTCCGATGTATCTCTTCAACGATCCATTTTGCCTCCACATTCGCCGATATAAGATGGCGAAGAGTGGGTTGCTCGCCGACACCGTGGGTAGCAATCAGCGACTTCTGTGGCCGACTCTCATCCTGTTCTATGACAGCCATAGCGGAGCTTAGGATGCATCCCGAAGATCGATAGTTGTTCTCCAAATTGATCACAACTGATTCTGGGTAATCAGTGCGCATCCGCAGCAAATTCTTGATCTCGGCTGATCGGAAGCTGTATATGCTCTGGTCCGGATCACCGACGATGGTAATACGTCTTGTTTTCTGAGATAACAATCTCATCAACTCATACTGGATGTTGTTGGTATCCTGATACTCGTCAATGAGTACAGCCTGTATCGTCGAGACACAAGATGGTGATTTTCTTAACAGATCCACACAGCGGACGAGGAGGTCGTCATAGTCGAGGAGATTTGAGGCGGCTAAGTGTTCTTGGTAGGACGAATATACCATGGCAAACTCGTTATCGTTGACATTCTTAGCTGTCCTGCGAAAGTCGTCGGCCGTGACGCCCTTGGCTTTCAACTTGGAGATCCTGGAGCGAGCATGGCCGGGCTCTACTGTGTACTGATGGCGCGTAACGATACGCTTCAATATTGCTGTGCTGTCGCTAGTATCCGCGATGCCAAAGTTCTTATCAATCCCAATCTCTTGACCGTACCGAGACAGGAAGCGACGCGCGACCGAATGAAAGGTACCCAGAATCAGTTTCGCCTCAAGTTTCTCTCCAACAAAACCCTTGATTCTCTCCTTCATCTCCCGTGCGGCCTTGATGGTGAACGTGCATATGATGATGTTCCATGGTTGTAGTCGCTCGTGATTGATGTGGTACGCGACGCGTGCTGTAAGTGTTTTGGTCTTGCCTGACCCCGGCGGCGCGAGCACTTGAACAACATTGGCGGGACTCGTCACCGCGCTCTTCTGCGCGTCGTTAAGCCCTTCCAACAATGCGTCCATGACGGTTTGTGCGAAAGATGACGTCTCATTGAGGGCGGGCTCAAGTCGTGTGGCGTGAAGGGACTCAGAAACGCGCTAGGAACACGCTGCACGTGTCGATAAGATAAGCCACTCCCTAGGTATAGCTGAAGAACGGCACCCTTCATGGCTCACAGCAACGCTCAAACTGAGTCTTGAGTGCCTAAGACCAAAAACCGAGCTAAACCTGTTAGTTCGAAAAGCGTAACACTTCCGCTGGGCTCTGCGCCGGCGGAAGCTCCGTGGTGAGAGCGTCAGTCTGCCAAGTACTAATTTCTCGTATGTTTCCCCGCAAATGCGGAGGATGTACCCTTACTCGGACAGCTTTTATCCGACAACCCGGCGAGAAGTGACGATGATCATCGGATTTTGGCTTACATTGAGCAAGCCTACCGACGGGCATTGAGGCTCTTCCCAGTTAGCTGTTCACGATGGCTGTACCGAGAAGTATAAAGGTCCGAATGTACCCAGTGTCTATGCCACACCCCGCAAGGCATCACTCAATTCACTGACCATGCTGGGACTGCGCGTTTTACTTGGCACAGCATTTGCTGGCGCTGTCGTTTCGGCAGGATACTTGCCCGAAGTTTCGAGTCACACTGCTTTCCGGTACAATGCGCGTCGACAGGCAACGAACAGCACGTCTCCATCTTTCAACGGTCCGTACAGTACCAGAGGCCGAGATATTGTTGATAGCAATGGCGAAAAGGCGACTTGGGCTGGTGTTAACTGGCCAATGAGTGGTATGTATCAAGTTCAGACTCATGCCCCACTGCAACAAACTGAGATCCTCTGTAGGCGAGACTATGGTTCCTGAAGGACTTGAGTGGGCGTCAGCGGAAGAGATTCTTGATGACATTGCAGGTGTTGGCTTCAACTACATCCGCATGGGCTACGCCATTGAGATGATTGACCAAGTCTACGATCGAAACGGCGTTGACGTGCCACTCGAGGTTGGCCTCATCAACGCCCTGGGCTATGTGAACGGCACCAAAGTAGCCAACGAGATCATCGAGAAGAACCCCGGTTGGACAGCTCAGACCACTCGATTCGAGATCTGGAGCGACATCGCACGCATCGCTGCTACCAAAGGCATTTTCATCAGCCCAGATGTGCACACAGGCAAAGCGCAGTGGTGCTGCTCACACATCGACGGTACCGCATGGTTCGACGACCTTGAGTTCAACGCAACGCACTGGCGCCGCGGTCTTTCCTATGTTGCCAATTGGGCAAAGGATCACCCAAACGTAGTTAGTATGTCTCTTCGCAACGAGCTGCGCGAATCTTGGAACGTCACGGATCTCTATTACAACTGGGACACCCTCGTCGGCAATATGACCGCTGGCGCTGACGCAATCCACGAGGCCAACCCTGATCTTCTTATCCTCTGGGGAGGTATGCAGTACGGGCAAGATCTGTCAGCACTCACTAGCGGCAAGAACATTCTCACCGCTCCATGCTACAAGTGCACGGCGATTCGCGACGCCGCGAGGAGGGAGCCAGTGTACTTCAATCTCGACGATCACCCCTGGGCTGATAAGCTTGTCTGGGAACTCCATCTCTACAGCATGAGTGAGGACATCGACACGGGCACCTGCGACATCGTCAAGGCAAACTTCTACCGCAACGGCTTCAATGCTCTGGGCATCGATGCGCCAGCCGCCTGCAACATTACGGGTGACTGCCCGAAGGCTGTGCGCGAGACACCAGTCATCCTGAGCGAGTTCGGTAGTGCGCAAGACGAGACACTCTTCAACAACACACTACAAAACTGCTTGAAGGAGTACACCATCGATAACGACATCAGCTGGATGATGTGGTCTATCGCTGGTTCGTACAGAATCAGATCGGGTGTTCAGGGTTTCCCAGATACGTGGGGTATGACAAACTACAACTGGACTGGTTGGAATTACGAGCGCGGTATTGAGGAATTCTGGAAACCATGGGTGCAAGCGATGAACACGACCAAGATTCATTAGTTATCCGTATCTACTGACAGAAAGTGCATAAACAATATTACTATCGAAAGACGCATTGAAAACAACCAGTATCTGACATGAACTACCGTCCTTCCCGCCTCCACACACAATTGAATTGGTCACCTTTTCTCCAGCCTCGATTCTTGGTTCTCACATGCTGGATTCAGCCAGGAGCGCGAGCAAGAGACAACAGAGAGCGGAGCCGGCTTCGGTGGAACAAGTAGTAGGGCACGGCAGAGGCACCTTATCTAAGGAAAAAAACTAAACACCTTAGAGCCTACGTTAACGTAAGGTTACCTACTTTATACATCATGATCTTCATGTAGGCTGCAGACCTGTTTAGCTTCTTGCTTGTCTAAGGTGGAGGCTCGGGAATCTATGAGTGTGCAGTTTGACAGGTGATTGCGCGCATGATCGCGACTTATTGTTCATTAGAACATCATTATGTTAAGGCGGCATGAATCGAATGCTCATGTTACCTGTTACTAGAACATCGCTCCGAAGCTAAGTGCGCCCAAAACGGCACCCATCCACCACTCCAGTTTACGCCTCCTCCCGGCTCCAGCCTCCTTGCTGGAGGTAGTAGCCAAACCGCCAGTTTGCTCACCAGGATTTGCAGCATCAGTGGTACTTGCTTCGAAGCCAGATCTTGGTACAACCATTGTAGTAGGCGCAACACGCACAGTGGCAATGACAGCAGTCCCGTCCGAAAAGACCGAGACCAAAGTGTTACCTTCGGCGTCAGTCGTTAATCCTACAAAGGTAGGGAAGAAGTTGCTGCCGATGTTGGTGCTAAGACCAGCCGTAAGCGTTAACGTCTGTGTTCCATATACAAATTCGCCAATGGCTACTGCTGGCGCTGTTTGTGGTGGAGATATCATGTCCGTATTGCTCGCCATGCCAGAGTCGGGAGTGGTTGCTGGCTGGGCAAGCGCACTATCACCTCCATTATGGTTATCGATGGGCGCTACAGTTTGACCAGGGTTTTCTGTCGCAGGAGATGCGGGTTGAGCTGGCTGCACATTCGATGGTGCGCGCCCAATCTGAGAGACTATCTGCAGTAGGAGACTGTGCTGCTCTATCTGTTGTTGCGCCGATCCTGTAGCACCGGGTCCTTCTCCCATCGTGTTCGAAGCCCTAACTGTGCTCGGTCCTATGATGAGGCCCGGCTGTCCAGCACTGCCCTCGCTTTCTTGTTCGGTCCCCCATACGAGGACGTTGGTCTCGAGGTTGAGGATGGTCGGCCGAGTCGTCGTGACAGTCGTGGCGGTCGGAGTAAGTGTCACGAGGCGATCGGTAGCTGGACCCGTCAGTCCCCAACCTGTGGCAGACGGAAGAACAATCCATTGCAAGCCACCACAACTACCCGGATCGATAGAACAACAGCTGCTGGCGTCGAGAGTACACACTTCGACCTTCACGTCGACCCGATCTACAGAACTCTCGGTAGCAGTGGCATCGGACGGTTCTGTTATCTGCGCCGCGATCGATACTGTCGACTGTTGGGTGGGAGCAATCTCGGTGACGTTGGGTAAGAAAGAGGTCTCTGTTTGCAATTAGCGTGTATGCCCTCAAGTTGGTACGATGTTGGTTGCGCACGAGGGACAGCTGCTGCGGCGTTCGCTAGAAATAATAGCGTCAAGAGCTCTGGCGGAAGGTACATGTCGGTGCGGCGCTCCCTCATGCCGTCAATCTGGCATTGGTAAGGAGACAGCGAGAGCCTCCAGCGCCCTCAGACACTCAGGCCCCTTGCGTCCCGCCATGTTCTCGAAGTGAGTAAGTTCGCGCGCTGTGCCGCAGGGCAAGCCTCATCGTGGCTAGCCGAACGTCGACGAGCACGCCAAGCGCTGCCGGGCGTTGTCACAATCTCCGAAGTCTCATGCACCACGCTGCAACTTTACGACCAACGACAGCGACGGTTCAGCGATCCTCCAAGATTCACATCAGCACTAGGACCCATACCTGCCTTATATGGCGACGCTTCCAGGTGTTGTGCATGCACTATCGCGGCAGTGGCGGTACACAGAACGCGTTGCAGCTGACTGGCATCTGAGTCCCTCCGCCTCTCCAATGCACAAGCGTCTAGATGCAATTATACCACCAACGAGAAGGATCGAATTCAAGGGAACGCGAAGACGTCCATTCTTTTTTCAGCACGCCCGGATACACTACGCTCTAGAAGCATACGCAATGGCTCACACCCACACATTCTCGAACATACCTAGGTACCGTATTGTATACCTCCACGACAGACATCTAATTGTTGATTGCGACCCATGAATCACGATTGATTTCGTATCTCGTGCCCTGTGTGATCCTGTAACCAGGCTGGTATAGCGCATGCATACTCAAGCGCTGCCTCCGTCTCTTTACACACGCAGACGTAGCAACTAACAGCCGTCCCGATCGTGCTGTCAGTTCGTTTATGCCTTCACTAACCTAATGAAAGTCTAACACCCTAGAGCCTACATTAACGCTAAGTAACCTGCTTTGCAAGTTTCTATCTTTATGTAGTCTGTAGACCTGTTCGGATTTTATCTTGTATACCTATGTAAGGCCAACCGCATGGCTTCTAATCTGACGTTTATGAGCCACGGTACTGTCTACATTTAATCAATCTAATCAATTTAACTACTACGCTAAAATCTGAACCTGCAGACAAGGCTATTTCGTGAGGAGCGCTAAGAGAAGCAACAGGAATAGCTGGAGAGAGAAAGGTACAAGAGTTGCGTAGGCAGTCGACGAGGCGATATGCCGAACGAGAAGGCAGCGAAGATCAGTGAGAAACAGGGTGAAGGTTTTGGGTGACGTTATCTGTGTAGCTGGCCAACAATGGCACCTCCCAGGCAGCACACTTAGTCGTCAGGGTCACATGGGGAAGGTTCTCCATGCTCTTCAATCAGTGTGCGTCAACCGCCTGGTCAGTCTTTATTGCAGGCCTCCTGGATTAGGAGACATCAATATCCGAATGACTACGACGTGCAAGTGCGCAACCGATGAGTCACTGCCACTGCGACGAAGGACATCGCCTACATGGATCATAATTTTGGTCATGCTCTTCACTGCCCATCTCTCAATTGCGACATCGTCATACCAATACTCGCTGTTCTTGACCAAACCTTACTAACGAGAAGGCTGAAAAAGGAGCCCCTGACCCAAACAATGATTCATCCAAAGCGCATGACCCTTTGAGCGTCGTAAGCTCCAACCGGCGAGGTACCCACGAGAGCGAATAACCAGAGACATCAGCATAGACATCGGGACAACATGGAGTTTTGCTGTAGGCATCCAGGTCAACATCGGAGATTACCCGCTACGTTTTCGCACCTTGATTACACAAACCCAACGTTCACCGTCGTGTTTTCGGCCCCCACACCTCCACATTGTCACAGCCTCGTAGTGGCGACCGCACATTCAGCTGCCATGACCCTTCCACGATACACACTGCAGGGGCCCCTAGTATCATATACTTAGGCAACTCTGAAGACTCCATTCAAGCCTCAATGTTCTGGCGGTCAGGAACTCATCGGTAAATAATCGTTCACGCGGAGCACGCCGACAGTGGGCGCAGCCAATCAAATCCTGGAGCGATCTGCACAAGCCACAATCGAGCCGCAGAAAAAGAGGCGGTGCACGTTGAAATTCATGGAGCTCATGCTAGCCAAACAAGGTGATTTCTAAGTCGTCTAGGCAGTTGAAACATTTCGTCGGATAATATAAGAGGGTTCTGGAGGACAGTGGGCTTGCTTCTCCGGTCCTCACCTGTACGAATATAAGTGCTTGCAATCCATTGACACTGCAAAACGCATAACTTTCTCTTGAGCATTGTCATTACAATCATTCTATACCTACCAAATCACAGTCATCATCTCAAGGTCTGACTAATCAGCCGCACCAGGCAGCCGACCATGTCTTACCTGCACCTAACGCGTACTCGCACCCGCGAGCGCACTCCAGAGTACGAACCTTACTACTCACTTCCTCTCGTTCATCACGACTCCAGCAAACACCGTCGGAGCATCACACTCTCAGATCTCGATGACGAAGATGGCCATGACGACTACCCCTACTCGTCCAACCATAAGCCAGTCAGGTCATCCCGCTCCCTAACAGTACGGGATCAGCCCTCTCAACTCGAGCGCTTCAACGTCTGGACTGACACTCGGCGCCCCCAAAACGATACGGAAGACGAGAACAGACGCCGTAGCTACGACACACGACGTACGTACGAATACTCCTCAGACCGCGCCGCTTCTTCCGAGCCAGACGACCAAGCTTTCCGCCTCAGCATCAACGCTAAGTTCAGCCGTCCACACTCGTCGCACCATCACCATACTTTCTCGCTTCTCTCACCCTCATACGATCCTTTCCATCGTAGTGAGAAGTGGTGGGTGGATGAGCGTTGGGAGTCTCGTGAGCGGTCTACCTCACGGGAAAGGACCCGTACACGACGAGATAGCTTCTGGGGCGACTCCCCTTTCGAGGAGAAGGAGAAGGAGACCGAGCAGGAGAAGTGGAGAAGCTATCATAGGGTTGGCGGGAGAGAGGTGGAGAGGGAGAGCGTCAGGCCGTTGAGTGGCTGGAGGAGAAGAAGGATTATCTTGGGTGACGACTAGGAAGAGCATCTGGGGACACAAGGAGGCGATCGAACCAAAATGTATTTCTGAGTGTTACATCCTTTTCATTATTGTCAGTCTTAGATGGTTTGGGTATACTTTAGGCTTCGCGATACACTGTCTTCGGGGTTTTCTTTTCTGAGTAGCACATGTGGCTAGGAGTGCTAACTTATATTCAATTATCAGCTCAATGAGTAATGCGTTGAACTATACATTAGAATGAGAACGTGAGCAAGTGCTGAGTATCATCAAGCAGTTCAACTATCGATTCCTCAAAAGCCGAAACCGAGGTCTCATTTCCCTCCCAATCGCCATGTCTGTGATCCATTGCTCGTATTCCAAACCCCTCGTATCCGTGAAATCCACGTCTTCGTAGTGCCATCTGCGGCCCAACCAACTCTCCTTGTCCTGCTCATATACACTGGACTCAAGTGCGCCCAGCTCTTCATCCTCAATTTGCCACTCCGTGCTATGTCCTATGTTTAGATAGCGCAAACGGCCTAGATACCGTTCGTCTATTAAGGTGAAGAGATCAGTCATCGTGAAACTACGTGAGGGATCACCCGTCCGTCCACAAGCGAGGAGAGTCAGTCTGTATAGTGGCTTGGCTTCTTGCCATCGGGCTGGTGAGAAATCTGGTGGCATGTTTCCGAATCGACTGTCGATGTAGTCTAGTGCTATGGTTAGAGAGACGAGGTTTGGTAGCCAGTCTAGTACACTGTTCAATCGGCCTTGTTTGACGGCTGGTAGATCGCGGAGTTCGACGACCGTAAGCGATGCAGATAAGCTGTCAAGTAGGGGTCTGATACCTTGCCTGTGGTCTTTATGTTAGCATCCAATCCTCCAGTGGTAGTCGTACGGTGAACTCGTTGCAATAGAGTCTTGACGTACTGATCTAGACCTGGACTATGGTGAATACTCAGCGAAGAGAAAGTCGGAGGGAAGTTGGCCGGTTGTCGTAGCATATCCCATAGGAATTGACCAGAGACCGATCCAGATAGAGCGAGGTGTTCCAGGTTAGGTGGCCAGCGAATACTGGGACCACCGGGTGTGGCGGAGGGTTCATATCTAGATGAACAGCGAGGTAAGTAAAGCTCGCGTAGATCCCCAAGTTGCCGTATCGTTTGGTTCAAGCTTTGGAAACTGATGCATTCGGATACCCTGGTTTTAGAAGAGCATGTCAGTTTACGATTCGAACAAAGATCGTGTGTCTGGGGTTTACCAACAGGCTCAGGTCGAGAACGCGTAGCCGGGTGCATTTGCTCAGGCTAGCCCAGCAGTTGATTGCAAAGCTAGCTTGAGGTGCTACGAAGACTTCAAGAGATAATCTCGTTCGGCCTAGCAATCTAGCTGTTGTCGATTTGGCGCCTTGATGTACGATGTGGGATAAGTCCAGCGACTTTACTAGACTTGACAATGCTGTGGGCTTGTGATAGGTTAGCATGTATCACCAACTACTCGGAATATCCTTACCTTGATGCGGGCTAGCACAGAAGGACATATCGTTCGTACAAAGAGATCGTACGCACTTCCTGATAGATATGGTGATTCGTATAGTGGTTGAACTGCTATCTATGCATCGAACAGCCAAATTAGTCACAATACGTTTGATGGCCCGTAGCATGGCATTCACATACATCATACCACTGTCTACTGACGTAAGCTCATGTGACCAGGATCCTCAATGCGACACATTACCTATTGACAGCGGAAAAGCGTGCAAGCGCGGTT